CGCTGGCTGTCGAAAGGCTTATGTTTGACAAGATTTTTTGCACTTTTTGAGACTATTTTAGAATTTCTGGATACTAAAGATAAAATTTTAAAAGAAAATTTAATGAAGAGGAAACAACATCGCCTATTTAACAGATTTGTTTACAAAATTTAATATGGTTAATTTGCAATTACAAGGCGACAGTTTAAATTTGATTAAAACAAAGTCCATCTTATCAGCGTTTCTTGCCAGAGTTAAACTAATGAAGCAAAATATTGGACGGGGCGAATTTTCTCAGTTCCCCAATTTGTCACAGACAAGCTGCCAGGAAGACGACGTTTCAACTTACGTTCAACATTTAAATGCCCTCTATTCAGATTTTGAATCTAGGTTTGAGGATATTTTGACTATGGTAATACCACCGTGGATAATTAATCCATATGGTGACATAGAAGAAACGAATGTCATAATACAAGAGGAACTGACTGAACTAAGTACAAACGAAGAACTTAAGGTTCAGTTTAAAAACGGATATCAGCAATTCTGGCTGCAAAACAACATACCCGTTACTTATCCCGTATTATGGAATATAGCGAGGAAATTTTTAATTTCCTTTCCATCGTCATACCTAGTGGAAAGGGGGTTCAGCGCTGTTACCAATCTCCTAACGAAAAAAAGAAACAGACTGGACATCATTAGCCGAGGAGATTTAAGATTAACCCTTACAAAATTGACGCCAAATGTTGATAATTTATTATTAAAGCATCAGGTTCATCCTTCTCACTAAAAATATTGACTTATTGCTTATGTTATTTTATTTATAGTTTATTTTATGTTTATGGTGTCTGACCAATAAATGCCCGCATTGGGAATAAGTGCCCGCATTGATTTTTTAAAGAACCCCCTTTATAGAAAATATTTTTTTTTAAATTATTCTGAAAATTCACACTAAAATTCGTTAATTTTTTGCCTATTTTTAGATAACTTAAACGTATAAGAAGCGGAATTTAATCAAACTAACAGTGAAATTATTGTAGAACATACGTTTGTTATAATTAATAAACGAACTCGCTTATTGTACTATTTTAAGTAAAAAACTTTTTTTTTATTATTTTTCACTTTTTTTTATTTATCCCTCTTATTTTTTTTCAATGCGGGCACTTATTGGTCGACACCTGTTTTTTTAATGTCACGTATATTTTACATAACAGAGGGGTCTACGACACAAAAAAGTTTGGGGAACTCTGATCTAGACAGATTATACTTCGTGGCCGAACCAAAAGGTCGCATCCCCATTCGTTACTTTCCGGGTATTTTGATTATACTGATAATAATGGAATACACCGCAAAAATAATAATCATGGATACTTGCAATAACATTTAGCATCAGTCAGTGTCAATGTATGTTATAGAAAAACTTTGGGTTTCATTTCAAATCGTTAAGTTACCTATCTATGTGATAAATATTGAACAATGACTTATTCAATTCAAAAAGGGTAGAAATAACAAAATGTATTACTAAAATGGGAGCCATGCAAGAGCTACTGCCCGGTTATTCAATTTGCGTTCCATCCAACGAATATATTAACGATAAGTATGTGTAAGAAAATTTGAAGAAACTGGATCTGTGTCTAATATTCGCCGAAATCGCCATCGAGAAAATCGACCATTAGACAGTTAGAAATGAAGCCGCGGAAATAGCAGTTTTGGGACACGTAGCACTTGACAACATCCAAAGCACCCGTGGACTGGCTACTTCTCCATGAGCTTAATGAAAACTGTTTTGCGAATTAATGTCCCAACGTTTAATCAACAATGCAAATCTGTTATTTAATATTTGTTTCTCGAATAAGTGTACTTGGACATGTTAGAAAACACAACAATAGAGCGACGAGTTACCGAAATAATAGAGTATGACGTTAATTATAATGAGATTTAGATTCATCTCCATCAAGACTGTGCACCGCCGCACTATGGGCCTTCAGTACGAGAGTTTTGGACAGCCATTTCCAGAATCAGTGGATCGGCAGACGAAGCCTCATCGAGTTTCTGCCGAGATCTCCGGATCTAAGTCCTTTAGATGACTTTTTTTGGGGGCATTTTAAAGTAAAGTTTTTAGTACGAAGCCAGATTCCATTCAAGATCTTCGTCAGCGGATTACGGCTGAATGTAGACACATAACTCAAGACATGCTTGCAATGTGAGGCATACGAGCAAAATCTTTATCATTGCATGGAGGTAAATGGACACCACTTTCAGCCCTCATTACCACATTGACCTACTTGCTGGCTGCTATTGGAATTTTGGTGAGAATATGGAAAAATATGACAACATAATAGGAAATATAAAAACTTGTTTAGATCTTGCAACTGATAAAAAAGTGATTTGATCGACAAAAAATACACCCTGGTATATCAAGAATATTAAGGCAGCTCAAAATTTGAGAGACACACACATACAATAAATGTATTCACAAAATCAAATGATGATTGGGAGGTATATAAAACTCTTAGGAATAAATGTGTATATGTAATTAGAGAAGAAAAAAGGAAATTCTACGACCGAAACAATTCTTTGGTGATTGCAAACAAACTAAATGAATATTTTGTGGAAAGTATTGTTGATATTGTGGGTACTGCCAATGCTGCACCTGACTATATGAAAATTAGTTTCCAGGGGGAAATGTTGCATACACTTCAAAATTCACAGCGTATCATTGAATTATCTAAGAAAACATGTAAACAGTTTAAAATCAAATAACAACTGTTTCGAAATTTTGGGATATCCTGTATTAAATTGGATCAATTGTTCACTGAGAAGCAGTTCTTTCCCTGAAATTTGAAATGCTCTACAATAACACCAGTTCCCAAAATAAAAAATTCTAAAAGATGCAGCGATATGAGACCAGTAAATGTGTTACCAGACATTGAAAATTATTAGAGTCCATAGTGCTTGACCAATTAATGCAGTTTATAGAAGAAAACAAAATTTTAGTGGAGGCGCAAGCAGGCTTTCGAAAAAAATATTCCACTGAAACAGCTTTCCAGTTGGTAACTGAGAATTGGAGAAGAGCCATAGACTCAGAAGTTGTCATAGCAGTATTTTTGGATTTGAAGAGGGCATTTGAAACGATTGATAGAGATATTTTGTTAAGTAAATTGAAGGCATATGGTATAACAGGAAGTGTTTAGATTGGTTTAGAAATTATTTGTCTAAAAGGATGCAAGTTACAAAAGTTAATGACACTATTTCATCAAAAATTGAAAATACGTTGGGTGTTCCACAGGGCAGTATCCTTGGACCACTTCTTTGTTTTTATACATAAATGCCATAGTCAAAAAATGTAAAATTCAGATTTTCGCCGTTGACACTATGATTTATATAAGTACTAAAAAATATTCAGTCTGGTATCTCTTATATAAATGAAGACTTGAAGCTTGTCTCGAAATGGTTAGCATCTAACAGGACTAAAATAAATGCAAGTAAAACGAAAGCCTTGTTAATCGGAAAAAAACAATGTACAAATGTTCAACTGAATATTGATGGTGATTGAATTCATAGAAAATTTTAAAAACATGGGGGTTTTTGTTGACTCTCGATTAATTTTCGATATTCATTATGAAAAAGTTATAATAAATAAGATTAGTAGTAAAGTGGGGATCGAGAGTTTATCTGATTTCTGAGTTTATATAGCAGAAAAATTATTTACAATACCATCATTCTTCCAAATTTCTTGTACTGTTCGACTATTCTATATTTAGCAAATAATTCCATTTTTGAAAGACTGCAAATTTTACAAAATAAGTGCATGAGAATAATACTAAATAAAGATAAATATACTCCAATTAGGCAAATGCTTAGCAAATTAAAATGGCTCAATGTAAACATTTTTATCAAATATCTTGTAATGATATTCATTTATAAAGTAAAAAATAATATTTCCATCAAGTCTAACTAATTTAACATCCTCAAATGTCGACCATCATTTACATAATACCAGAAATAAAGATGACTTCCATTTAATGACCAAAACGTGTAACATATGCTACAAATCTGTATTCCATCAAGGGTTGATTGAATATAATAAATTATACTCGGAGATAAAAGACCAGAAAATTTTGACAAAATTTAAAGTAAAATTGAGAAATCACTTGTTAAATCCACAATTATAGGTTGCCCAGCATTTACATCATACACCATATGGCTTGAATTTACTAGTTCTAAGTTGTTTACAATTGTTCTGTTTATGTAGCCAAATGTGCTAAATAAATCTTTCTACTCTTACGACTATTACTATTTTATAGCAAATTAATTTTTACTTTAACTTTAATGTGCGCGTAAACTCTTATTTTTTTTTTGTTTTTTTGATACTCGGAGACTTGTTTATAGTGTTAAAGTCATGTTACCACGGGAACTATATTGATTGTAATTTTTAAAATACAATCCCTTATTATCACAATTTCTAGAATTTTATTACAAACACAACGATTGAAGATAGGTATAAATAATAAATAATAATATACAAAAGTTAGTAAAAAATTATGTAAAATCTAAAAAGTTTCCATTCAAAATCGTAATATCTTATTTTTTGGGCCACCCTGTATTATACGGCTACAGATGAAAAGATGTCCCCCTTAAAATTAAAATTGACATGTCCGAGTGTTTTTCCCAAAATATACCAGAAGAGTCACAAGTAGGTGTGGGACCTTTTTTTGGCACTTCCTGTATAAGAGCTTTCGATAGAGTAAATCACGATCTACTTTTGGCTAAATAAGAAAGTTTGGAAGCATCAAGCAGTGTTAACTATCCTAGTTTAGAAGCTACTTATGAAGTCGGGCACAGTGCTTCAAATCGACATTATGTGTGAAGCTGAAAATATACAATTTAAATCAAACCTTTCTGTGCGCCATCTTTTATCATCAGCGCCATCCCTAAGACCTAACCCTCGCCAATATCGCAGCAGAATACTCTCTGAGATTCGACCATTTTCATATGACACTTTGTCGATGATAGTTATTAGTTTAAGAAGTAAGAAAACTTACCTGAAATCGATACCTCCAGCGAGTGCCAACTTCAATTCCCGGAATTGGGCCGAAATGATTTTTTGGTACGATGGTGCATTCTTTAGATCTACCGACGCAAGCCATCCCTCTGCCCCAATCGCGACCTGACTTGTTTTGTTTGCTGGGCATCTTTTCTTTTTTCTTGCTCTCTTTCAATTTCTCTCCGGGTTTTACTATCTGCGATTCATCGATTTTGCACTCTGGACAATACCTGTCATTAAAACAATCATCGAATCAGCCGTGTTAATATTTTTTATAAAAATATAGCAGTTAAACTGGTAAACAGTTGTTGAGAGATATCAAGTTGCGGTATTCGGGAGGTTCTTGACCAACTCTAGTCTGGTTCGACAGGTATATACTAAGTGACATATAAATCCGAACACCCAGTTTAAATGGTTTTATTTTAATAAAATTTGTATAAGTACTTAATGAAGTATAATAAGTAAATGATAAAAATTTCAAAATGATTGCACTGCTTTGAAGCCCTTTGACCTTTAATAATGTGTGGATGCACCCTGATGTGGTATGCATTCTCCAACGCGCCTAGGCATGCTTCTGATCAGGTGGTCAATGTCCTCCTGTGGTATCTCATTCCAGGCAACCACCAACTCCTCTCGAAGTGCTTCTACAGTCTGAGGAGGACGTTGCAAATTCAGCAATCTCCTACCCATCATATCCCACACGTGCTCAATTGGGGATAAGTCGGGAGATCTTGGTGGCCATGGTAACAATGTGACATCATTATGTTGAAAGAAGTCTATTGTGACTCTTGCAACATGTGGTCGGGCATTATCTTGTTGGAAAGTTGGATCTGCCAGGGTGTCAAGATAGGGTAAAAGATGGGGTTCTAGAACTCGTGGATATAACGCTGCGCGTTCATGTTACCTCTGATGAAGATTAAAGGTGACCTGGAACCATAAGCTATAGCCACCCCAAACCATAACTCCAACAGTGTGATGAACATGTCTTTCAACAAAAAACTGTGGATTCCTCCTTTCACCACGTCGCCTTCTAACCCTGGCACGACCATCGTGCATGCCTAAACAAAATCGAGACTCGTCACTAAAGACAATACTGTTCCATTCCTGATCCCAGAGTGACCGTTGTCTGCACCACTCAAGGCGATTACGTCGGTGTTCTCGAGTTAAAGGGAGGACCCAGTGCGGCCGGTATGAAAACAAGCCAAACTTCTCATTCGTCGGTAAAACACTTCGCATGCCAATAGGTCTTCCGTTTTCTGCAAACCATTCATTTGCAATGGACCTGGTAGTGGAGAAACAGTCCCTTAAGGCCAATAATCTTAGGCGGCGATCTTCACGGTCTGTTGTTCTACGGCGGCGTCCAGTGCCCCTTGCTCTTTGCGTACGGCCTTCTCGAAGCCATGCCTGACAATACCTAACCACAGTGTCTACACTTCATTGCACTCTAACTGCAATTGCCCGAAAAGAAAGTCCAGCTTCCCGAAGTCCCACTATACGGCCCCTATCAAACTCACTAAGTTGACGAAATCGTACAGGTCTCCGTACTCTAGGCATCGTAACCGATCGTAAAGGATGTCAAGAACCAAAATCCGCCAACGTTGATTCTTTACTGCGGCTGAAATATTCATTTTTAGAGCGTTAGTGAATTAAAAAAAAGCAGTATAAAAACCGGAATGTCCAACTGATAAGGCTGAAAATTTGTTCACTTGTTATTTACAGTAAGATAAATACATTCACCATTTTTATATGTCACTTAGTATATTTCTTTTATCTATCAAATTATTCAGGGTGAGCAAAGGAAGGCAGGTTTTTTTTATCAAAGTTTGGGGCTAAGTTAAATTCTCAATCTTTGAGGTTGAAATTTTGCATCTATTTGATCTTTGGACTATCCTAAAAAAATTGATATCTCAAATTTTTGAAAGTTGGCTATAACTCGAATTATCGAATTTTTAACTTCCCGCAATAAATGTCTTTCGGCTCGACCTCGTATTTTTTTTATTACCATCTCCATGCAAATAGGACGTTTCTGCGGTTTCATCCTAACTACCTACACCTCAAACATGCAATTGTTCAGTAAAAATAATATTGAACGAGAGAATTGTATAAGATTATTGGAAGAGAAGGTCGTTTAGTGAATGTTGTAGCTTTCATTTATGATGCTGATCGGTCCTCAATATACCGTTTAAGGTGTAGTTATTAGGGGGAAACGCCCTACTTGAATGGAGGATATGATCCAAAAAAGACACAAGGTCAGGTCGAAAGTCATTTATTGCAGGAAGTAAAGCGAAACAGGATCCTCGGATGAAAACTTACGGCGGCACAGTGAATAGTAGCATCCAATCGTACTCTACGAAGAACTTTAAATTCTACTTTGTTAAGGTATGTAAATGTTACAAAAAAATTGCTAGGTACTTTTTTGGAGAAGCATTTCTTCGAGAGCAAGACGTCGCGCCAAGTGTACCTGACTCTTGAACAATCACAGAGTCGCCAGGTATCAATGGGCACAGAAGCAGGTGAATTGGCATCAGCAGTGCCAAAACACGCTTCTCCTTGTTTAAACGCAAGCTGGGGAAGAAAATGATGAACAAAATATGACTCCAGAAGAGGCGTTTGGTGGAGGCGGCATTAATGTTTGGATTGGGGTTATGTACGATGGTTTTTTTTTTCAAACAGGACAGTCAATGCTGAAGTGTCTAGGAACAGCATTTTAAACAATATTGTTGTACCTTTTGAACAAGATTTTGGGGAGGATTTTGTCTTTATCGATGATAACGCCAGGCCGCAGAGAGCTCCTACGGTTATAAACATTTTGGCAAAAATAATGTGACATTATTGCCTCTGCCATCAGTCTCCAGACCTTGAAAATAATTGAGTATGTGCGGGGTGGCCCTACAAGGTACTAACAATATTGTTTAAAATAACTGTTGCTATTTTGTAAAACTACGTTTTTGTCATAAATAAATAATTTAGATATTTAACTGGTCTTCAAATTTTTGTTTTCTAAAATGTACATATTGTTAATGTTAATGAATAAATTCTTAATGTCGTTTGAAAATTTAATAGGATCTATTACCTATTGGAAAACATCTGCAATGAAGACGTGTACGCCAATGCTAAGTGAGAAAGAAAAGAATTCCAGATAAAAGATGAATAGCAGTGTTGGCCAGCATCATGGCATTTTGAGAAATATTTTATGTTAAATTATTAGCACTTAGCACTTTTTACCAATCAAAAAATGCATTTGGTGTTACGCCACTAGAATACACCCCTGTATTAAGGTAGTAACTTGGAGTAGAACCCTGTACGCGATCTCAAAGGGTGGTCAAGAACCTGCTGAATACCGCAACTCCATATCTCTTTCCGTTCGGGAAGTATCGAATTTGGGTAAATTTTTCATGTTGCAAAGCAACTATCCACCAGTTTATTTAAAATATTCACTTTATTTATTCTTATGCAGGGTGAGTCAAAAAAACAGTGACATTGTGTCTAGGGTACAAAGTAGATCAAAAAATATATATGAAAAGTGTGTCCAGACTTGCCCTTTTACCGAGATACAGAGCGCTGAAGTTATAATTTCAAAACCCGAAAAAATATACCTCCGAATGGGTTATACTCGTCTTTCTACATGTATGTTTAATCTAATATTATCTCCTTGACAGACTGCATTAATGCGAAACGCTCACCAGACAACTTTTCCTGGATGATAGCTCTAATTGAAGTGTAGATATTATTACTAATGCGACAAAAACGAAAATGATCGTTATACCTCCATCAGGTTTTTTTCTTTTACTGCAGAATACGTTTGGTTTAGAAGTAGTAAACATTGCCAGAAAAGAATAACTACAAAAAATGGTGAGTGGGCAATCATCAGGACAAAACAACTTTTTGATGAAGTGCACCAGGACAAATTTTCTCAGTCAAATCCTGAAATCCTCAATGCATGTACACAAAAAAATGCTAAATACTCTAAGCCACGGTGTAGAACTTTATTTAAAATAAGCAACCTACCAATATTCTTCATCCGGCACACTTTCCAAAGGAGGATTTAGGCACGATAAGTGATAACCGAAATTACATTCATCACCAAAGAATAATATTCGCCCAATCTTCCTTTCCTGCCACAGATACGACACCCGCATTCCCTACACTTCCTCTCTTGGTTGTCGTGACATTTCGTGCAGTTGGCTGGATATTTTCCTGTAACAATACAAACGACTCTGTAATAACAGCCAACCGCAGACAGCGCTGTCTGCGATGATTAATTTCTGTTTCCACCGCAATCTTAATAATACATACTTGGAATATACGTAACGTGCTCCTTGCTGCGATCAACTGCAAGCCACTGGTTTTTCAATCCTATTATTTCATCTTTCAGCTTGATGCAGATTTCTCGATTGGCGCTTTATCTCTTCCTAACAGAATTACACCGTTGATCTTTGTACGTGAGAGATCTTGAATTCTAAAATCGTACCTACAAATAAAGGTGAGGTTGAACAGCCTGGAAGGCAAAAAATACAAACTTAATGTACGCCCCATAAATGCAAAATAATAAACCATTAGATCCGCCTCAGGAAACACCTGGCATGTAAGTGCAAATAAACAATTAAATATTTGTGTTTTTATCAACCCAGCTATACTCACCAAAGGCCTAAAGAATTCGGTTGTTCCAAATTATAGTTGGCCAGTACTACCATATCTTTTTTTAATTCTGAATATGTATAAGTATGATACGACCTGGGTCTAATATCATCAAAAGTAACGTCAACTTCAAACTCAATCACGTGCGGTGCACTAAAAATAAAAAATAAAACGCTTAAAATACATAGTTTTATTTGTGTAACTTGTTTTGTTGAAATCAACCGTTCAATAGAAGTGAAACGTAGTCGAATTAATTTTCTCCATAATATTCGTTTATATATACAGGGTGTTCGAAAAATAGGCGGAGATATATTGTAAAAAAAATATGAAAAAAAGATTCTATAAACGTGGGTCCGGAAAAGCAGATTTTACAAAATACAGGGTAAAAAAAATACAGGTGCCTCGCTGCCTAACAGTTACTATAAGCACATGCATGCATTACATACATGTCTGCCATTTCTTCAAAAGTGTAATTTATCGACCGAGATAAACACTTATTACAGAAATTTCGCAATGAAAATTACGTAACTAATTATTTTCTAGAAGAACTGACGCGCAACTGTCATACCTCCATGCAGAAATGATTTTTTGTTTTCCAATGCACTGTTTTTTTAGCAAAAATTAATAAACCAATTTTGTCCAGTGATATGCAATTAAAATGATTTTTATTTTTTTTTTTTCTCGAAAACGATGTGAGATACGAAAAAATACAAGAGGCAAAGTAGTTGTATTTTCAGATGCTTAATCAAACAACAAATATTAAAGTATAATAAAAGGCAGTGGCGTACATTTTTTGCAATAAATTCGATAAGGTGCCCCCGGGACGCCACGAGACCTAATAAGTTTAATCTATTCAGGGCTAAATTAGTCTCTTAATAAAACAAATAATATTGTCAATTTTTCAACAGAATCGAGTAAATATTTTTTTTTAAATATTTATAAAGAAAAATTATTTATCAGCCTGTTTCTTGAAAACTCTGCATTTCCGGACCCATATTTATAGAGGCTTTTTTCATATTTTTTAGCAAGGAATCACCCTTTAGAACATCTCCGTCTATTTTTCGAACACCCTGTATAATCTACTCGCTGAAACCACGTAAATACGTCTTGGAACCAGGTAGTTAAGCTTGATCTCCTACACCTCCAAATTTCGTATGCCCTTTTAGGCTCAAATAGCTTTTGACCAACGCTTTATAGTTCGGCGCGTTTCAATAGCAGAGTAATATTACTATTTTTTTACACCACATAATAATGGTTTTAAATAATATTTTTAGAAAGGCGCATCAGCCGAAAAAAATAATATGTTTTCTCTTCGGCAAAATTTACCGCTTTTGTTTTTTTCGTTTATGATACTGATTCCGATATAGTGATTAGCCATATTCTTCTCTTCTTCAATTTAGTAATACATTCGTAATCAGCGACTCAAAAAAACTCCCAGAGATAAATTTACAGACTGCTAGACTAAGTTTAGGACTTTTTGCTCAACTTTTTTGGGATTGTTTGCAGTGATAATCGATTAAGAGCATCAAGAGCGTTTTTATCAAGACGGGTATTACGTATCTTGAAAAGTGACGTTATATCGATTTTTTAACATTATACTGATTTTCTTTGACATGTAAATGTGAACTTAGCACTAGTTGCACGTATGCCTAAGCATCATGAGGCTTCAGTTATCAATCTTTGGCTCTGATGTGATGTAAACTCTGCTTCAGAGATGGCGTTACTGGAGGTCTAAAAGTTGTATGTGTTGATGTTAATTCCACTGGATTATTGTCTCAAATACACTTAATTGAGATTCAAAGCTAAAAATTAGTTGCGCATCCACTTTTTCTTATCCATTCTGGGAATTACATATGCAAATTTGCTGGATTTCTAAAATGAGACAGATAAATAATTATATTCACATTAAACTGTAGAATGACAAGCCATATACATGCTGGAAGTAATTACACACCACGCGGGCGTGGTGATGATTTTTCGTAATTCTCCTAAAAGTTGTTCGCAATTTATTACTTTGAACATAACCTCTTCAGAAAGGACAACATATAAATAACCCGTCGGGCACAGCTAATATATATACTTCCTTGGCAGCATATTCAGTAATGATTTTCTCACACAGCAAATATCACTGATTTTATACACATGCAGACCAATACACACAATAATCCAGATTCGATCTTACTAGTCAATCAACTTCTCAGAGATAAAAACTACAGACCACTCGGCCTCACAAAACATATGCAACCAACAATATGTGTAGTTTAGTTGAGTGATTCCTCCATAGATGGACGTTCACAATGATCCTAGTGAGCAATGACATTTTGCGCCCTAAAAACTAGTCTGCAAGATGACATCTTATAGGGTTTTTTTGATGTTTTTCAGATTTTCTACGTAATACCCGCACTCACAAAAATGTTTTTGAATCTGTACAAAACCAATAATACTGATCCTTCGATTTGGCGAAGACAACTAAAAAGTTACATATGACAACAATGAATATAGAAAAAGCGAATTCCGATGGCGCCGTAGGGCACGTATCTCCGAAACGAAGGGTATTATGAAAATCGTTAGAGAACAAAACAGTCTTAGATTGGTCCACAGAATCAGACCTTGAATTTTTGTTCCATGGTTGGAAAATAGCCGTTCACTTCCTATAAAGTATAAAGAACTTACCTTTTTACTGTAAATATTAAATTATTATCACTGGAATCTTTCTCACTGCATTTCTTTGTGATCGTCACTATTTCGGCTTCATACCATGCACCACTATCAACCAATTGTACATCAACATAATCGCCAACTTTGTAAAAATCACTGGCAGATAAACTTCTTTTCTCGTCATCTTCAGTTCCTT